CTCTCGAGGCAGTTACAGTGCTTCCAACTGTCTCTGGAAGTGAAAGCACCAGAAAACAATTTAAGTCATGCGCAGCTGTCATCCGTACGCAAGGAAGTAAGCACAAGATGCCGAACACCCTTAGCAGGATGCAGCGCACCCTTCATGCGACTCGCCGAATATCTCACGGCGCTTCGCGCTTGGTGATGTGAGAGCCTGGTCCGGTGAGAACCCGGCGTGCTCCGTCCCGGCTTTGCAGGGATGCGAGGTCAATGGTCTACCGACTACGGCATGCCTGACTATGAGTACACCCCCCAAACGAAACAGAGAACAACAAATAAAGTGATCCACTAGACGTTGTTCACGGCTTCTAATCCTAGCCCGAAAATCACCGCTACTACACTTCTACCCCTGCTGCTTCTTTGCTTGATTTGTCACGCACCTCTGCACCTCCCCGACGCTGCACGCCGCCGCCGATGTGCTCGTGAGGAGAGGCGGCAAACTTCGCCGAGAACGACTCCACACTTTCCAAAAGCTTTTTAGAACTCTCTTCGACAGCTCTCGCCAGCGGACCGTGGAGCCTCTCCCGCGCGTCTCTGAGGCTCGTGAGTCGTGCCTGGGTGATTCGAGACACCCAATCACAGGCGTTAACGTAGGCGAGCAAGGCAGGTATTCTGTGCAGATCATCAGCAACGATCGGCATCTTCCAAGGTAGTGGAGTAGGCTACCACTCGAGACGTTTTTCGTTTCACGTGATCGATGGCTTCCGTAGGAGGGCGAGGCGAGGACCAAGGGGATAATGGACACAATAAAGGAAGGTCAGGACATTGAATGAGGCAGAATGCTCCCTTGCGGGCAATGCGCTGTAGCCATGGGAGAATGTTTTCTGGAAAAGTGGTTGGAGGCTCTCGCCGATACTGCCACACCGGTCTAACGTACGCCTCAGGGACTCGAGTTCATGTCGATAGCGCAAGTTGACTGCGTGCGCTCAGAACGCTTAGGTCCGAGAATAGGAACAAGACCTGAGGACGCCAGGGCACGTGAAAGTGGTGTTCTTTATCTCGCCACCGAGAGGTGAGATTGGGGGAAAGGGGGCGCGGAAGCGTCTAGTTTCGACTAAGGTCGCACCTGTAGCTGACGCAAGAGGGCGGGGTCGTAGCTTGATGCAGTCTTGACCGCTTGTCTCGGAAGACTACCTCCACCACCACTACCATCTCCAGGCGCCGCATCTCGAGATTGGTTTTGGTGCATGCCCTCGTTGTCTCCGGCCGCGGCAACGGCGCCGGTGGTGAGGACGCCCTCGCGATCCGAGACGGCGGTGCAGGCTGTCGATGCCACCGACGCGCGGTCGTCATCGGGTTCGCCGCCTGGATGTGAAGGCAACAACACCAACCGCATGACTGTCTTGTTTAGGAGAGTTGAAGTCAGTAAGGATTGCGTGGGGACAAAGCAGGCCGCACTGTCAGTTGTGTGGGTGTCCGAGGGACGAGGAGGAAAGCATCCTCTCGCCAACTCCCTCCTTGCGCAAGATGCAATAAGTACATTCACCAGGGCCATATCCTGAGGAAAATGCTCTGATGGTGAAGGACAAACCAAGGCAGTCATAATGAATAGGCCTTACGAAAAGGGACGGCACAGGAGTCTCATGGAAGCATACCTCGCCACGATATAGGCTGGTGGGGCTCAGCAAGGACCCCGAAGCCGTCAACAAGCGAATGTCGACAAACACGCCGGAGAAGGAGAAATTATCCGATGACGCAAAATCTGGAACGGCTGGGCCTCCTTGTTCATCAGTCTTTGGTCAACCTATCGGCCTCAAACCGGTGAGCTCCCCTTTGTCCGACCCCCAGTCCCAGCTATGCACTAGGATAGGTGTTCTCTATGGACACGTCCGCAGGCTCCACTGCACGCGAAAATCTAAGATGGGCACGGTGTGCACTCTGGTACTTGAAACTTGTTGCACAGGAATGAAAACGTGCGGCATCTAACTTCACAAGTCGCGACTGCATGGAATATTTTGGCTTCATGTCGGAAAGCGGATTAAACAAGCTCGGGACCAACTCAAGAACACATGGAAGGGGCTAGCTAAAAGAGGGCACTCTCTGACATATTGACGGGAGCCAACTCACCGTACAGCCCCGAGAAAAACGAAGACCCTGACAAGGAACGATCTCCGGAGAACACTCCGTCGATCTCCAGCGCGAGGGCTTCTCTGTACACCGCGCACACGGTGGCCTCTTCACGGGCGCGGTTCTCCGCGGCCACGAGAGCCCTCACCTTGGTGATCAGGAAGAGGCACAAAACACAGCGTACGTCAGGGCAGGGATTTCGAGGTGACACAGAAAAATGTTGGGAGTCTCAGGTGTGGAGGATCGGAAGCGTAAGGCCATGCAGTCATGTTGCAGGGAGGGAAAAGAAAACACGTCGAAATCTTGGGCGTGAAGTCGCCCATGCGGCAGGAGAAACAACTGAAGTTATTGAGGAAACAAACCAAATATTATGCCAAAGCTGTTGGGTAGAATCTCAGCAGTGTTACGCCCTAAAACACCAACAGCGGTAGCAAGAACAACAACGGACCCAGCACTCACCTGCCGCAGCCAGTCTCTTGAAGGCAGCGTGGGCAGCGCGACCTCCGAGGCTTCCCTGATCGACAGTTCGAGATCCCCCTGACACATGCGATGGAATATGTATCTCAAAATTAGCCAATAGAATAAGCAAGGAAATCATTGCTCGTTTGGCAAGGTAAACATAGAAGGAAGGAGATTTGTTGTAGCACTTGTGACTCCTGGTAGCGAACAGCGTTGTCAACGAAAGCTTGTCACCAACGCTCAACGAGGTTACCACCGCCACCACGGAGCCATCGCCGCTGCCTAAATGAGCTGGGGTGACGGGACAGGTAGTTGACAACCAGTCATCGAATGTTTATCTTCGACGCATCCTCCGACAAGCGCCATATCCCACCGTTATTTTGAACGTTGACACACTCTATCCTCAGACCCCATCGCATACACGTCGAACTACATGACTGGAGAGGAAGTGTCGAACCGTTCAGCTGTCAAACGTAGGAAGGTTCTCTTATTGTGGCTGCTGCTGTGGTATTCTTTTCGGCTTCAGCACCTTGTCTTCCAAAGCGCGCCACCGTTTCTTGCGCTCCCTTTCTTCGCGCCGCGCCTCTTCGTCAAGCTGATGTTTTCGGTGAAAGGATGGTGGAACATAGGGGAACATCGTAGTTTCAAAAATCGAAATTAGGGTGAAAGGCAAAGAAGCCAGATTTGTCCGTATCAATGATACCATGCTATCAGCTGCAGGCGTCGCTGTCTCTCGTCGGGCCCTTCGGCACAAGAATAAGGACGTATCTTTTTTCACAATCCTTCCCTGCGGTAGACGTCAGCACGAAATGAAAAAAACACGAATAGCCGAAAAACAGGGCACCAGAGCGGCTGATGCGCTCGCTTAGGTTAGCTTCCAGCCGCGGGTGTCGTCATTTGCCCAATCCTGAGTCAAGCTACATTTTGGGGTATCTTCGAAGGATGTTCTCGGCAAAAGTTTCGGTTGAAAGAGAAAGAGGTACTGCTGAGAACTTCATATTGCCTGCTGTTGCAGGCGCTGTCGCTCCCGCTCACTGGACTCCGACTGTTTGGCCTTTTCCTCCCAGGTGCTCTTCATCGCCGCCTCCATCTCCGCAATTTGCTGCTTGTACCTGACCCAGGCAGGCAGCGATATCGACATGCATGATATGTATGTGCGATCGGCAACTAAAGCCTTGTTACTTTCTTCAGATTTGAGATACGATAGCTCAGACGCACTCATGGAGCATCGAAGTCAATGGCGAACGCCACGTCCAACCCATTAGTTGGTTAAAGACGCGGCAAGCTCATGTTTAGCAAGCCGACATTCACGTGTTTTCTATTTTTCACCGACGAACACCACTGCCGACGTGTCATAGAATGGAACCACCCGAAACTCTGTCATCATCCTACGCCGCAGCAACATCAACCCTTGCTTCTTCCCCTCTGTTCGAAAGCCATTGGAGTGACCAACCCGGGTTTCCAGAACTAGCATATCTTCATGCGCCCTGTCGCACGGCGGATTTTCCTCAGACATCTCTCTTGTGTCACATCACACCCATCAAGAGTTGCATCCGACCCACCACCACGAGTTTAACGTATCCCCTTGCCCTCGCGCCTAACCCAGCCCAATGACCAATGAATGGAGGCGATCCCTCTAGCTCAGAATCCAACCTGTCTCCTCCGCCATTTCCCCCTGCCATTCCCTCCCTCGCGGTTGCCGCGCTCGTGTCGTTGCTATCGCCGCCGTTGCCGCCGGCCGGGGTGGATGGGGGTGGTGAAGACAGGGAAGCCATCGAGGCTGTCTGCTGCTCGTGAGCCAATAATTTCTGCTTGAGAGCCCTCACTTCCTCCTCCAGGCGGCTGACCTGCGACGCTTCCTCATTCTTCACGGCGTTCACCTTTGTTTTTTGTTTTACGGCGGAATGGGTGAGGGGCAGGAAGCGTGGGTTGATCGGAGAGACCATTACGTTCGAAGCGCTTTCTTGGTGGGAGGACGTTCTTGGTCGGTGTAAGACGACAAGGAGGGTGGAGGGAGTGGGGCTATCGGTGGGGGCATACCGAACTTTCGCCGCGGTGTAAAGTACTTCCTGGCTTTCCTCTCGCGAACTTTCTACTGACTCGCGCCAAATGCATGCCACGTTTCTCACAGCGTACACCTTGAGCGCACATGCGTGCGCATGACATTCAGGGAAGCATATGTAAAGGCCCCTCGAAATATGTTGACGAGAGCTTGTTGCCTATTGGTCGAGGGCGGCACTTGTCTACCGCGGTCCTGCAAATCTAACGGGGGGGGGGCGGTACTTTGCTCTGGTCTATTTGTACCTTGATGCTCTTGGCGCGGCTGGCGTACTTGAGAGTGCTCAGGGTTTCCTCGAAGTTGCAGGCAGCCGGCGATAGCGCGGCCAGCATAGCCGTGAGCGAATTCCCGCCCAGGCTCTCCTGTAGCACCCTCGTCAGCTTGGAGTTGCGGTAGGGGACGAATACGCCCTTCTTTCCGTTCGCAACGTCCACGAGGGCGTTGATGACGTTGCCCAGGCTGTTTAACGTTCATGCACAAGCGCACACGCGCACAACGGTGACTTAATTGCGGGGGGCAAAGACGGAAGGTATCAAGACCTACGCACATGAACAAACGTGTTTTTTCTCGGAAGAAAATAGTGACGCATATGTTCACCACGAGGATTGATATTTAGGTCATCCCGCAAACTTACGGTGAAGACGAGTCGTAGGGTTGGTTTCTCTAGGGTACGTGTTCTCTCGTCACTCCGGCTTGCAATAGTCAAAAACCACCAAACCTGCTGAGACTCTTGTTGATGTTTGCTCCTTCCTTGAGCCGGGCGCCCGTGGCCCCGGTGGACTTGGCGCGTTCGGAGCCGGCAAGGTCTACGAGGTTGATCTTGGCGAAGGTGCTCTTGCTCTCATCCGTGGCATCTTTTTGATGGACCTGGGGAAGCACCGACACGAGGGTTCTTGTGTACTTTTTTGGGATTGGCTTTGTTGGAAACGACCCACAGGTTCAATGTTACGTTTCTGCTGTGCCACCAGGCATCGGATGCATCGAATCGAATGTCAACGTCAGACCGCATGTCTTCCGCAGAAGACGTGAAAAGCTTGATGCGGCGGCAAGATCGATCGGTCGCCAATCGAATATCGACTCTGCGAACGCAACCTCTCTCTTCTTTGGTCGGGTGCGTGTGATATCACTTCATGTTAAAGCCTTATGCTTGCCGTTGCCGCACTTGATTGGCGCCCCAAGAGTTGGTGTGACAGCGGAAGAAGGACATACTTGGAGCAGCAAAAGTTGCATCAATAGGACACGCCCTGCGTCAGGATGGCCGAGAGGATAACTTGGGGGATGTATGGGTGAGGCGAGGGTTTGGCACTGTCCGGCTACGCATTCCCTCTCCGTGCGTACACCCCCTTGACGATTCTGGAGGGTGCTCAAGACCCGGCGCCCATGGAAAGTTTTCGAAAGGGCACCCACAACGTCCCCACCACGAACTATACCCAAGCACACGGCGACACTGTGCCAATTGCTATTGGGATTGTTGCTGTCGTCATTGTTGGTGCTGCTGTAAACGCCTCGGGTGAGGCGCGAAACGTTTCCCCCACTAACCTTTACGGTGAAAACACTGTGACTCCGACTGCTGGTGTCGTTCATGGCCGTGCTGCCCACCGTGCGGCTGGCCATGCCCTGGTCGATCAGCCGCTGCATGCTATCTGGCGAGGTCACCACCATTTCCTGAACGGTAGTATGCATAAAGCAGCGAAACAAAACGTTCCCGCAGACTTCCATGAGCAAACCACGACTGCTGCGGACTGCAGACAGTCAGCGTCAGCCGCGTTCTTGGCGATGAGAGCGTTTCGTAGTTGTCTGTCAATCAATCTCTGATGTCGCGACTAGGGCACAAACCAAGCGATAGCTGTACTCCGTCATGGAGCCGAACGTATGGAATTCTTGTTTGTGCGGCAACCTGATCGTCTCTCTATTGCGCGGTTGCCGCAATGGTGTTGCTTAACGCCTCGACCGCACAGGACGCGAAACTTGAAAAACCTGTCGAACGTCAAGACCTCTCAACCTCTGCCAGGACGGCTGTCACTCTACGGCACACTGCAACACCGCCCCGTGCCTGCAATCCCTTGACGAAGATCCCCAGCACCCCGTGTTCTCGTATTTCCAGGCCTGCTCCTTTCCGCTTCCGATTATTCGGGTCCAAAAGGTCGTAAATCACCTGGCGGTAGCAGTAGCAAGTATGAAGGCATAGACAACTACCCGTACTGGATGGGGTCATGAGCGACATGAAGGAAGATATCAGAGAACAAACTCGTGAAATGTAAAGAGAGGTACAACACAGCAAAATCTAAACCATACTATCTGGGTAACGTCACTCAAGATTTGAAGCAGACAGCCATAGATGTAGAGGAGCGAAGTTGTCCACGTCTGGTTGAAGATTTACTGGAGAGAGTGGTTTCACCGGCTGCGAGAATTGTACTTGTACAGCACAAGTTGGGAAAGGTCAAGAAGTAACTGTTGTAGGACAATAGTACAGAGGAGTAGCACAGGAGAGGCAATTGTTCAAGCTTGAGTGGCACGCGTAACAATCATGGGGGCATGTCGAACTACATCAGCACAGAGACGCATGCAAGAGTTACGTAACACGTGCACCCATCGAGGGTTTGTGTGAAATAAAGTAGCACAACTGCACAGCACGATGCACTGCAGGGTATGAAGAACGAATAGATACTATTGTAATATTGTCGATGTGTACAACGACACATAGAGGGTGCGATGACATGTAGGAGCACATGTGACGCACGCGCGAAGAGTTACATGTTTTTGTCGGTTCGCAGAATGGTAGGAGGGAGCCACGTATCGGTTAGTGATTGTAGCGAAGATATCTTAGAGAGGATTGTAGAGCCCCACATGGCTCACTCCTCCAACTTTCCACCTCCTCAGACCTCTACAACTGAGCTAGGCTCCGGAGCAACTGGTAGGCCATGAAAATCTTAACTGAGGCAGCAGTAACGCCACCATAACCTCTCCGGTCTCCTACGCACTGGCTTTACCGGGGTACAACCAACCTCGACGCACAATTCAACAGTCAACACATCTTTTGAGACCACGGGCTCCCAATCTTTCTTTTTTAGAGCTAATGTGAGACAACAACAAACAACAACAACATCTGAAAAGCTGGGATTTCAAAGATGTCAGCGGGTTTTCTTCGTCAATAAGATACTATAACGTACATGGAGAGCTGCCCAACGCCCTATTGAATCGGGACGTTGTGTAGGCGCCGTACACGTACTGGGGTCTCACCAGGAGGTAGGTGAAAAATGAATCCAGGGCAGCGGCGACGTCTCACTTGAAGAGGTCTATACCTGGTCTAATCCCATCCTCAACACGAAAGCTTGACTTAAGACACAAACATATTCAGTAGTTTCCGAACGAAATGCTCCTCGACATATAGCAAATGCAAGCGACGCCGAAGAACGAAATTCGCGAACTCCTCCCCTACTAGTCTGCAATTTGCACGTTCCCCCAAACCCTAAGCTAGGTTATCGTGGCGTGCACCTTTCCTCTTCTATGGACCTGCCATCGACATCCATCGTCGTCTATTCCGCATCGGAATGGCTTAAGCTTACCTCGTTGTAAATCTCGAAGTAGGAGCAAGTTACCAGGAACATCTTGTTGGCGTCAGCCTCTCTTTCACGAGCCACCCTGCGCGCAGGGGTTGCAGTAGAACATGGTGTGAGAGGCACCTTGTACTGAGTGGATGAGCAGCTGCACCCCTGTGCTGTTCGTCGCTAGGCGGTGCGAGCAAGCACCGAACCCGCTTTCAACCACCAAAGCAGCAGCAACGTTATGTATCGACAAGAGCATCGCCGGGAGCGGATTGAGGACCGCCTTCCCGGGAAAGTCTGGTTTCAGCAACAATCTCCAAAGGGGTCTTGGGAACAGGCACAGCCAGCCTGCCGAGAGTTCCTCCAGGGAAGCAACTTGTTTCTATTTTCTAATGGATGCGGGAGTGTTATGGTCCGTGATTTGCTCAAGAAGGTGAGAAAGCCGCGTATGTCTGTCCGGAGAAGCTCTCTTCATCTCGGATGTAACTGCCGTTCCGGAAACAGTGCTAATGAATTTGCACACCAGCAACCTCCGGTGGGAGAGAAAGGCAGGCACACTCGACTGCCTGCATGCCACGGTTTGCGATGTTTGGGCTGTACCCCACTCTGTATGTGGCAATCACGGCAAGCAATGGATACGCAAAGCGCAAGTTGGTCAAGTACATGCGGGTGTACTACGGGGCATACATTCCCTTCCGTATTGCCGGTCTGCCGGGAATCTGAACACGAACAACTAAGCTCGCTAGCATCACCGCACGACAAACGCGGCGGCCAACAGAGCCAGCGAACACAACCACCCTCGCCAGCGTTGACATTCATCCACTCCAATACTCCAATACCACAGCACCCGATCGCCAAAACCTCACCGCGCGAAAAGCTCTTCGTTCATGCGGGGTATGATGCCCGCACCCTCTCCTCTCCCACCCCCCACCCCCTGCATGCTAAAAGTTTTCCCGCTGCCTGTCTGCCCGTACGCGAAGATCGTCGTGTTGAAGCCTGTTGATTGGACGTGGTTGACAGTAGAGAAAAGGGCGCACGGAGACCTCGTGGACCAGGGTCACATGGCGTTGGGAGCGTTCTAACGGAAGACACCTGACTGCCGGCGCGTTCAGCCCGAGATGCCGATACCACCGCTCGCCAACGCAGCTAATTGTCTCGGCCCCAGAGCTAGATGCCTAAGACGGTGAGGCTCGTTTCGATAATCTTGCTAGATGTGGGTGATGTTTTTTTTGTCCCATCTATTGTGGACGCCAGGTTACACCCTTCGGTACATGGCTGCGGGGTGACAAAGGAAGAGCGTTAACACTACGTAGATTTCGTGCACTTTCTCCACCGTTCTCCCAGCGGTGCAATTCAGTTTCTACCCAAAGAAGGGTTCAGCAGCGCCTTTCCTAAGCATTATTGTTGCTCTAGAGAGATCTGATCCCGCTATATAAAGAGTGTGAAGGCTACGAGGCTTCCAACTGAACCCCCGAGGCGACTGGCTCGAGATGACACACTGTGTATCGTCCGATTGGTGGTGGAAGCTCGACATCAACAACGGCTTTCTCCGGCACCTTTTTACTGAAGAAAGTACTTAATACGTGCACCAGTTTGCAGACAAGCTCCTTCGACCAAAGGGAGTATTCTAGATAAGTGCTTTGGAAACTGCACGCAGAGCCATCAGGTTCATTTTCAGACCTTATGTTTCAACCAAAGTCTGATTGGTTGTGGGCGAGAGGTTTTAAGAGGATTTGCTCCGCGCCAAACCTGCGAAGGCCTTCTCCATGGCTGGAACGCCGACATCGTTCCAGACGGATATTTGCTTAGAATCCCCGCCGTAGATGAGGTCGAACCCGAATCTGCAGGATAGTGGGATGACAATCGAGAACGGCATCGTGCCGCACGTCCTTGGAAAGGGGGAAAAGACAGGAAGAAACCCCTCGCCAGCTTTGCCATTGGCTCTAATAATGACGTTGCTGACGGCATTTCCATTGTCGAAAAATACGTTCGCCGAAAATGCGTTGCCTGTGCGCACAAACAGCGTGCACGCGCTCGTCCGGTTGGACCACGAACACAATGCCAAGGAGATCCAAGAAAGTCCTCTCTAGCGCAGTAGCTCTGCTTCCTCGTATCGTTTCTAGAGACGTGTGCATAGTCGTCTGCATCTTCGTCCCGCTGATTATTTCTTCGGCAGGGACTGCTATCCAACGCCGCCCACAACCCTTTCGGAAAGCACCTCGACCCCAACATGTCGCTTCTTTGTCTAGTCTATTGGTGTAGACTACTGTCTCGACTACTGCTGTGTGGACCACACATCTTTCTTCGCCCTAGCGAACCCACGCCTCCACCGCAAGGAAGAATATCAGGCATGTCAGGCAGAACTCCCCAAGAAATATTACGGGCCACATCGGTGAGTTATTGCACGGAGTACACGTGCTCACCTGTGGATATCGCTAGCGTTTGCCGGGTTTTGGAGGCACGCGGTCCCATGCTCGATTCGGAAGCAACTCTGCTCTCCTCTCGAGCGCTCACTTGTCGAAAACGGCCGACATCTCACAGCAACCTTTATGTTGGTGACTGATTCTTCTTTTTGCTGCTGCTGCCCCAACACATCGTCACGGCTGCCGTCCTTCATGCCGCCGCCGGGTTCACTGCGACTGCTTCGACGCAGAGCCGACATCGTACGGTTTTTACGTCTTGGCACGCCCTGCAACGCTCTCTGCACGAGAGATCTACTACTGCTGCTGTACTTCCCAGCACAAGCGACAAATCATAGCCACGAAAATGTCACAGTAGTGATAATAGCAAGAAACAGGCCTGGCGTGGCATACCTATCTAGACCAAGCATACAGACCTTGTAAATCTATTTACACATGAGTAGAGTCTACGCGTTGGCCTCCGGTGGCATATCGCCGCAAACAGACTGGTGCCGCCTCAAAAGTACGATGATTCACGACTCCAAAAGGAAGGAGCAGATACCGAAAGCGTTGACCTTAAATGTAGGCCAGCGAAGCCACTACAAGAAAGACGGTAGATGCGTACGACACACCGGGACTGGGTGCATTCAGCCACCATAGATTCAAGATTGAACGCTGTGTGAAACGCCATTCTCGTCCGAGATCCGAGATCACACACGATGTCTCCGACGAAATCCCGCCGCATTTTGTTTCAGTCACCACTTGTCACCTGTCTGAACCCAGTTGTGCCGCTTGTCACACCATTGCCCGACTGCCCATAACTTTCGTATCCAGCTAAGAGCACAACGCCACGACAGGGAGCGCGGATCGCCAGTGGCAGGTCTGTCCAAGTGCCTGCCTAACAGCAGAAACGCAGGCAAAGCTTGGCTAGTGCCTGTTGCACGTGTGTTTTTCGAGATTTTGCTGCGCTTGCCGTTGCGCCGGCAGCCCGGCAGTCGACCCGAACGTCCGAAACCACCACATACGCAAACGCTGCCGTGTCACCCTTCTGCTCCGTATCTCCCTCTGCACGTTAATTGCACGCATGTGATGGAACCTTTCCCACTATAAAACGCGTTCACTGCTGTATTGCCTACCTTTACAAGCCCGACCCTCTCGCTCCCTCTCTCTGCAACTTCCAACCATCTCCATCCACACGGACAAGCAGGACATCATCAGTCAGAGTTTTGCCTGCTGCAGCGGTAGAGCCAACACATCAGGCTGAGCTTACCCCGAGCTGTTGAGTTCCCGTGTTAACCAGGGCGGCTGTGCAAGACTAACAGGTTGTTTGTTCCCACACCAGCTGTATTGGGTGAGCACGGAGCGCGATAGGAAGGGCAGGGCGGACGGCCGGACGCTATAGTGCTGCTGCTGCTGCTGGCAGACCTGAAGGGCGCCAGCAAAAGTACGTAGGTGCGTGCGGCGGAAAATTTCGAGAGCCCTTTGCCCATCGGTGACCAGGTGTTGCGTATTCCGTGGGGGGAGGGGGGGGGGTAGCCAGAGTGTAGCGTGCTAGCTAAGTGCCAGCGATAGCGAGTGGCAGCTGGCAGGCCTGCGCGGCCAACTCTCTCCTTCACACAAGTAGGCAACGGCCGAGTATTTGTGTAGCTTCGTAGAACTGCTGCCGCTGTGCTTCAAAGTAGAGCGGCACGACCGAGGTTCTGGAGACACCTTGGGTATTCGTACTAGGGTTAGGGATTGGCCCCCCGCCCCCTAATGGGGCGGGCGGCCACACCGGGATGGATGACGGTGAGGGTTTGGGGGGAAGTTAGGAATACGAAGAAGGAAGACGACGCGTTAAAAGTAGCAAGAAGCAACTTGATGATCACACCGTATGCGTAGCCCCCATGGTGTAAGGAACCGAAAGAAGAGTAGGTATTTTTGTGGACGAACTACAACAGTACATATACACCTACCAACTATATACCCCGAGTAGAAGGCTGTGGGATCTTTTAGATGGACACACACACCGGTCGCCCCGGTGGTCTAGTGGTTAGCCTCGCAGCCTGCTAAGGGCCAGGTCATGGGTTCGAGTCCCGGCAGGGAGAGTTTTCTTCTCACTAAATAGATCCTGGTCTAGGATGAAAGCGACGCGCTGCAAAGCTCGTTTGTTAGTAAACCATAATCGACTTCGTAAGTCGCAAGGGAAGGGGTTGCTGTATCCTTCTCGCGATAAAAATACCTCAGGCATGAACCGCAGGAGGGGGTCCAACCCCCCCCCTCCTATGTGACCCCGGTTGGGTCGTCTAGCCAGTAGAAGTGGAGGATAGGGGCCAGAGGGGCAGACGGCAGAGTCCAATGATGGGAGAGAAACAAACAAACAAGAAAGGAAGAAAAGAACAACCCGCACGGCCTTGAACACGGGGCGAGCTACACGTTCCGCGCGCTGTCCCAACGTCAACTCCATACCCAAGACCGTGCTGATGCGGCACAAATCACATATCTAAAGGGATAAAACTCAAGAAGGCTGTAAGGAAGGGCGGGTGCACAGCAAGCAGCATTGTAGTTTCCAGATTGGTGTGCTCCGCGCACGATAGCGGCCGCAGCTCCCTCTTCTTTCGTTGTGATGGATAGGGACACGCGCCAGACTACAGCAGTTAATAGAGTATTTTGTCTCGGGTCATGCGGAGAGTTATTACGCGAAAAGGGAAACGTTGGTGTCGCGCACCGCTGTGTGCTGTATCAAGCGTGGTCCCGCTGTCGATATGCATACAAGTGCGTCCAAAGGTAGATGGCTTGTGGTAGGTCTGCATGTACGGCCGACCCGTGCTGTGCGTCTTTTTTTTTTTTTTTTCTCCCATCATTGGACTCTGCCGTCTGCCCCTCTGGCCCCTACCCTCCACTTCTACTAGCTAGACGACCCAACCGGGGTCACATAGGAGGGGGGGGCTGGACCCCCTCCTGCGGTTCCTGTCTGAGGTATTTTTATCGCGAGAAGGGTACAGCAATCCCTTCCCTCGAGACGTACGAAGTCGATTATGGTTTACTAACAACGAGCTCTGCAGCGCGTCGCTTTCATCCTAGACCAGGATGTATTTAGTGAGAAGAAAACTCACTCTGCCGGGACTCGAACCCATGACCTGACCCTTTGCAGGCTGCGAGGCTACCCACTAGACCACCGGGGCGACCGGACACCTATTCTATGCTGTCAATCAGTTGCGACGAGCGTCGACCTTAATCTACGCGTGATTGAACGTGTGGATCTGTTGATGTGCATGCTGCTGTACGCATAATAGCGTGTGTGTGTGGAACATGCGTGCTACAATAGCAAAGCTCTGCGCTACCCTTAGTTGGCCTGCGGAAGGTCTACAAGTCCGGCTGACGCGTGCTGCGCGCCTATGCTCCGTACTGTCAATCTGCGACGCGTGTCGGCCTTTATCATGCGGTTGCGCGTGACTGAACATGAACCTCTCCGGTGTCTGGTCCATACTGTTGTGTAGCCAACAAAAAATCGATCTACGTTTTTTTTTTTTCATACTAAAGTAAGAAATATGTCACAATAAGAAATATGTCACGACACGTCGACCATCCTGCCAGTATAGTCTATATAGCATGATTTCGGTCCGCGGGGTTGCAGAAAAAATTTACTACGAATAACATGCATACGTAACACGGAACACGGACCCAAACCAATCAGCTCCTTGCAATCCACTGCGGTATCAGCCCGCTGTGGAGGCAACACCCAACTGCTGTTCGTTTCGTTATTGGTGACCTCTCGAGTTAGTATTCCGAGGACCAAGGGGAGTCAACCTTACAGCAGTACTGCTATACCTCCACTTTCAGCGTCACACCGAGGACAACTTTTCGTTTTTCGAATTTGGCATCCCTTGTTACCGCCAGGCAGCCCACCTGCCCACCACCAGCTACCCTACTATTGATTGGCAGCGACAGGCCAACAGCAGTCTCGTGGGTGTAAGTACATAGAACACGACGGATTCATACTTCTTCCGGGCCATGAAATGTAAGTAATGCTTTAATGCATGAAGCACGAAAGGCCCGACGAAGTTCTCCCGGCCCATGCCGATAGTGTCCGAACACCCCGGAACCTGCAAAAAAAATGAACGCAACACCGTCTGGTTGCCCATCAGTGCGTTCTTCGTAGGAGTTCCAGTTGCGTGTCGGCGGGGCACCCGCTGAGATATTGTACCCCTTGGGGCTTCATGCGATGCGGCATCACGGGAACGAAAAGAACCTCGCATGCGCGCGTGGCGGAAGCACGAGAGTAGGAGGCGGAACGTATCGGAAGGTCGACTTGCGCACGCATTGCTTTTTTTATTGGCAAAGCGGCACCTCACGACATGCTGTTTCAACTTCTGAAAACATGAAAACTGCCACTCCCGGCACCGCGCCCCTCGCACCCCGCCTCTTATTTCCCCTCATCCTATCTCAAATCGATGTTGAGGACTCATTCCTTTGGGCTGACCATATGGGCGGAGTTTTGTGGCAGTAACATTACGATGGGAGCTTCCGTTGTCCTGTTTTGTGGTAATTTGCTACATGTAGCCTCTTCTCAGAGCGTCTCCTTTCTTTGTGGGAGCAGGAATAGAACCACCTCGTAAAAATCAAAAGTTTATGCGTTACGCGGCATAGTTTTCACCTTTCGGCGCGCCATCCAGCAGCCTACCGCCAGCAAACGCGCATCGAAGCGAACCAGGAGTAAACCAGGTCGTGGCAGTGTTCACCCACTGCCGGCGGGGTAAGGCAGTCTTCTTCCGTTGAGATTATTTGCCAAGGAGGAAGTTTTCGGAAGAGACAGAGAGGCGCGCCGACGACAGCATGGCCGGGTACCGTAGTCAGTCGAAAGACTTTCCGCTTTCCGGTCTCAGCAGGCCGCCTAGAAAAAGTGGAAGCCCACAACGGAAATTTCTCGATGGCAGGCGAACGATCAGTATCGTCCGTACTGTGCGTGCACCACAGGGTGGTTGCGTCGTGTCTACACCTGCTACCCACACCCTTATCTGTTGAAAAACTCGATTCATCCACTTTTGGGGACCTCGTGGTCGGTGGTTGTTCGTCCCATCTATGTATCCTGGCGCCAGTTCACCCACTTCTCGGGGCATGTGTTTGTTTGATGTATCAGCCGGGATCACACATGAACCTTTTTTGTTTTTGGCGGCGTCTTTCCGCCTGCGGTGATTGCCTTACGTCTTGTCGCGAGAAGGGTTCAGCCATTCCAATGCCTGGACTTCGGAGGTAAAATTCCAATTCTCGAGTGGCGAATAAG